GCGTTAAAAATTTCCATTTTAAGCTAACGTATTAAAATTTAAAAAAAAATTTAGCTATTAAACACGCTGTTCTTGATCGATTCCATTAAACTTTTACAAAATTAGTGGATCTCAGAGTTGCATATTTCAGAGATGCGCTTGTCTGTCGTGCATCGGATTTACTCCATCACCGTCCACGCTAATGGACTTGTCACCGTATTTAACCAACCAGTCGATCTCGCTTATCAGTGCGCAGCGCTAATATCGAGACTGAAAGAGACAGTTCTAATCAGTTCTGATCGGTCTCATCGTTGATATCGATCCGTCCGCGAATCGTCGTCGCGCGAGACGCGGCATGAATCGGAAAAGATATTCGCGCGGATCGGCCGGCGAATATATTCGCGCGGGTTAGGGAACTGCGGAAGATAAGCAAAGCGCGGTGTGGTGTTGCATATTGATTGACGCGCCTGCTACCGGATCAGGAGGCGAGGGCGGAGAAGAAGAAGAGGACGAGACGGAGAACCGAGGCGGATACTGAGCAGGCGACAGGGGCGCGGAGGGAAGGTGTAATGAAGCACCGCGCAGACACACCGCCATGAATATTCATAATCTAATACCTGAACTGAACTGAACTGAGGCGGGACGAAGTCTCATCATCTAGGCCTTCTGCTATATTAGACATTATTGGCGAGGCGACTGCCAGAGGGAATGAGAGAGGGAGATAGATAGATAGATAGATAGATAGATAGAGATAGAGAGAGAGAGAGAGAGAGAGAGAGAGAGAAGAAGAAGACGAAGAAGAAGAAGAGAGAAAGGATGCGCATCTCTGAATATTCTTATACCGACTTCGACTGCATTCACCCTTTTATCAAACTGCACTTTGTGATATCTTAATATTAGGTAGTAGGATTTTTTAATTAAGGCCTAAAAGGATTTGGCAAGATATTCTGATATCTAATTTATATACAGACATTTTTAAATTCCCCAATTTTAATATTAAACAGGACTTTTGATTTTTTTATTTGATGTGTGTGTGTGTGTGTGTGTGTATGATTGTAGAATACTAAAAATCACAACAAGTAATAGTCATACTTGAAATTTAAACCTAGACAGTTTAAACCTAGACAGTTTTTTGAGGCTCGTATTCAAATAAAGTTTCATACTTGAAACTTTTCCAATGGAAAAAAATTAATTTTCTATTCTAAAAATATACATTATACATGCAACATACGAGTATGTATATTATCTACATACTTCTAGGCTTCATTCCAAAACATTGATTTCGAAAAAAATTTTATTGAAATTTATATAGTAACGTAAACTTAGCTTTTAGTAAAATTTTCCTCGAAAGCAACGTTTTGAAATGTAGCTCTAAATTTCACACAGATAAAATATTATGCACTTATTATTGACAATAATTTATCATAATTACAATTACGTAATTGTAATTGTAAACGCTTTATAACAGAAGATTTTGTTTTGCAGTAATAAACATGCATAACTGCATAATCTCGAGATTTCAATCCGTTTTGTTCGATTATTTGCATATGAAAAAGTTGTAAGCCGATGGAGCCACGTTTTAGATTACTTCTTAAGCTCGGTTCGACAGTAAGCAGCTGACAGCGTAGCGGCGCGCGCTTCTCTGTTGAGTCAATATCCGCGCGATATTGCCGTTTTATGATAATGTTATCAGCGCCCGGCTCCCGATGAGCTAGCGCGATACCAACACCAACTTACGCGCGTGCGTGTACACGTAACCGTCGCACGGTGACATACGTGTATGTACGCTTCCATCCCAGAGTTTCATCAAACCCGGGATTTAGTAATCTATCGAGATTTATGAACGACGGTTCATCCCTCTCCCGCTCAGCCCGCCACCCGCCGCCCCCTCGTCGTTCCTACTGATTGTACCCATTTCCCCTTTCCACGCCCCGCGCGTCTCCTGCTCTTCCCTATGAAATGAACCTGCAGCTTTCTATCCTTTTGGATTTTTATCGTCCGCACACAGGGATTGAACCGCATCTCACCGAAGAAGTCGATTGAGCTGGCTCTAAGTCGATCTGATTAGAATCTTTCGCTGATCGACACGTGTTTTCCATTAGTCGAAGAATAGAATTTTTACCGTTTTGCACAAATTTTAACATTGGCTTTTATCGAATATTATTACATATATTGAATACATAAAGAGCTCGAAGATCGCTGGGTATTTTTCCGAAGACAGACATGACGGTGTATACTAAAAGATAGCAATTATTTTAGTCAAAGCATCTTTTTATAGTAATGAATATTGCATTAAAGATTACAAAATTTTCTAATAAATATATTTAGAGGGGATAATAAATAATAAAATTATTTTATTTAATTTGTTTTACAAAAAAATGATCAAACATTAAATCTGAGATTCATAATCTCAGATTTATCAGTACAATTAATGTTGAAAACAATGCAACACTTATTAAATTTGCTAAAAATTGATTCCAAGTTTTTCACAAAATTAATAATTAAAATTATTTTTGCAAGGTTATATTTATAAGATACGATCTGTGTATAACTGTATGCAACGCAACGCTGTGCAAAATCGCAGCATTCCATATCTTTTATTTCAGAGCCATAATCCGTTTAGTAGGAGACTGATTTAAAAGGCAAGAAACTTTTGCAGAGAGAAGGCCGCGTTTTTTCTGTCGCAACTAAATATAAATAGAGAATAAAGTTTGAGCGGCACCGGGCCGCGTCTTCTGGTTTATAAAGTATTCGTAAAGGAGTGAATCGGGCGAATCGCGGAACGATGGGGTTGAGCGGGACCGATCGGGGAGAAGGGGGGGGCGGTTTTCGTAGGTCGGAGCACGGGGAACGTCGAGGGTTACTGAGGCGACGAGACGCGACAGATCCTCGAAAAGGATGCCGAGCTACGGTAGCAGAAGGCGCGACGAAGTGGCGCGCTCTCGATGGGGATTTTAGTTTGTTCAAGTAAATTATATTCAGGATGGTAGACGTATATACATCCGTCTGCGTCCCACGCGCCCGCAACTTTCCTCACTGTCTCGCTTTTGCGCATTACCCGTGACGCAAATTACAAGCTTCCGCGCGACGACCGCCTCGCTGCACCCCCTCCCGACCAGGCACCCCTTTCCGTCCCGATCCGCTCGCTCGCTCACTATCCGCCTGGCAAATTCTCCTTGCCTATCATGAATTATTAATTAATTGTTTCAATTAACGGCGCAATTTATTATTCAACTCGCGACGACATCCGCATCGCGGTCGGCGCGTTGATTCCGAGTACGCGCCATCGTGGACGAACAATCGCGCGCGCGGCTCGAGTGCAAATGCAAATTGGAAATACGTTTATTTGTTTGTCGGAATATAACGTATCGCTGTAGCGACAGTTTAATATATTACGCGCGGAACAATTTTGTATTTCGTAAATCACATATCTGTTTTTATTAGGAAATCGATCTTTTGAAAATAGAAAATAGATAATTCTTCCTTCAAATAAAACTTTTTTTAAATGCATTCTCCTCACACACACAAATGTATTTCAAATAAATTTGTAACATAAATTCTTTATAATAAAAATTGTATACTAATATTAGTGTGTAAATAGAAATTTACACATTAAAATAGTTTTGGCATGCGATACTTATTTACGCGTACAATATTTATTTATTTTTTTATAATGTAAATGGAGGGAAGATTATATTTATATTCTAATAATAAATGCATTTTATAATAACATAGATACGAAGAATGCTTATTTTTACCAGAAAAAAGATACGTTACCTGCTTGCTGGCGTCAGTTCAATCGTGAAATGAATATTTACCTTCAGCACCCTAATTCAACGAGTCAGCTATCTCTTGCTCGCTTATTAATGGGGATATCCCACCCCATCCGCCCATACCTTCCTCCCTTTTCGCCTATTTACCGCTCAGCTCGGCAGACACGCAAACCGCAAACTTTGATAACCAAGCGGCCAATTTCCGGTTGCGGTTCGGCGATCGGTGGAGTACTCGACTCAACGGCGTGTTAAGTCTGATCCAGATTGACGTACGCTAATTCGCATGGCGGAAGACGTGTTCCTCGTCATCGTGAATGCTGATTGATTGAATACGTACATACATTGACTGCGACTTCAGAGAATTGTTGCTGTTTTATTTATATTTGCGTTATATACATCTCTCATACATTTTACTTTTATGCAAACAAATATTAAAATTTGTGCAGAACGTATGAAAGAATTACACATTTAATCTGATTAATTATGCTCTTAAAGATTGTTAAATAATAATTATTCAATTATTTCAATAATTTACATCTAATTTTGCAGATCAAATAAAATAAGAAAAATAAAAATTATTCAGTTATTTCAATAACTTATATACAACTTATATATAATTCCACAGTTTAACAAATAAGATATTTTTTATATGCACAAGTGATATCTTATATATTTTAAAAATTTATAAATTTATTTCGCATTTCTTGGCAAATTTAAAATACGGATATTTATTCTCGCATTCGTATCTACAGCTTTAATATAAGACTTCTCGAATATTAGGACGCCAGAGTTGAGGCAAAAGATGGGTTCGCGTGACGGCCACCATCGGGTCGCTGATTGTTTGAACTAAGCAGTATGATGAGCGCCAACCTCGGTGTTACTGCTTGACGTGACGCCAACCATTACGTTGGGAACCACTTAATTATAATATCGCTCAGAATTAAACTCTATCCGGTGCGAGCACGTACTTGTACCGCAATTATTGCCCACCTCTTATTATTACACGCAAAAGCGAGCGGTATTAGCTTCACTAATCGTTACTTTCTTAATCATTTCTGCAAGTAGCATTAATTTCTATAAGTACATAATTTTATTTGGGATGATATTATTTTCAATCGAGATTAAAGATATAAAGCATGTCTTATAGATTGAGTTTATTTTATGTTTTATAAAATCTTTTAGCTCAATACATATCATGTACGAACGCAAATATAATACAAATTTTAATTAAATAATTTTTTTTTACAGTGTGTACGGTTTTTATTGGTGGCGCAATCGGGAAAACAATGGATCTACATCGAAAGGTAAGTCGCAAAAATAAAAGTAAAATTTTTAGAATATACTCGAATAGAATAAAACGTTTCTTATATGAGAGATTGCGTTTTTAAGAAAATTTATTCTGAAAATTGGATAAGTAATATATCTTTCACCATCCATAAACTTAAATAGCTTTTAACTGCATTGTGATATAATTCGTTGGACACGTCACGACAGTGGGTTTTAACTGATGATTTTAAGATTGCGTCATCGCTTATCTATCCGCCTCATATTTATTTCGGTGGGAATCCCACATTTTTTATGGGATACCGGCTGCATGTTGCGGCTCAGATAGAAGCCGGATCATCCACAGATAACAGGGTGACAGTGAGCATGAGAAAAATTAGCGATGTATGTGCACGCTTGTAATCCCATTGAATGGCAGTAGGACGCATCAAATGGCCGATCCACGTGACAGGAAACGTGTCGAGAATTATAGCACATCCCCGCTGCATTTCAACAATAGATCATTAAGTTGTATTAAGGATATATTATGACAAGACGGCCGTTACAAAGGATAAACGGATATCTCTCGCGTTTGCGTCGCGGACTGCTCGTTTTTCCGCACCGTTACACCATTGGAGACATTTAGTTGTGAATAACGATTGTGAAGTGTAATCAACTCTCTCATGTTCACCGTGTTTTATATTCTAGATACGCATATCGTTCAACTACAAATTTCCGTGTAAAAACTGAGCCAAAATTTTCGGTCTTCTCGGGAAGATCTGATGAACAGTTTGCGCGAAATAAATTTCTTATACTCTTTGCGACAAAAATTCCCCCTCCGCGGGAGAAATATAAGTAATTTTTTAAATCTTTTTGCGATGAATCGTCATGTTCGATTGACCATTTGAGCGCTCTAGGGGTGCATAGTCACCGGGGGATAACCGGCCACGCGTAAGGAAAAGGCGTATTATGTATATTAGGGGTGTCGAGGATCAGATAGCCAGGGCATTTAATAATGCTGTTCCTGTCAAAACATACAGTGAAACCAACTGAGGGTATAATGTAGATAAATTGCTCCATAGAGAGCGAATGAGGGAGAGAAAGAGAGAGACAAAGGGTGAAAAAGAGCGCGAATGGAACAGAGAGAGGACGTCGGGTGTGAGCATAACCCCTCCCTTTGACTCTCGTCTCGGCTATTACTTGTTACCATCCCGATTGCATAGGGGTTGTAATATGAAATCAACGCCTAGTACAAAGTTTTAACTGTGACTGTGTAACTGTATAAACAGTTTTATAATCCGTCCTGATTATAAAATTGCTAGATATGTTTTGCGGGTTATAAAAATCTCGGAATAATATTGTGAATTGACTTTTAACGAATTTTTAATATCTAATACTACAATTATATTGTAATATTTATACTTGGTTATAATTTCAAATTTAAATATTTTTTACAAATCTATTTGTATACACTATGTTTAAAAAATTCTTCTAACTATTCTAACAAAATTATTAAAAAAAATTTTTTTACTTGGCAATTAACAGTACAGTTAAATATTTCATGACTTGGTGGTATTAGCTGATCTTAGTATTTGATTTTTCGGTGTATAGCGTGGTGTGTTTAGATCGCGTTATCATTTGCGCAACGAGACTCGAGCCGGCAGATAGTGGCGTGAACCGCTTTTGTGTGTCGCTGCATTACCCATCAAGACGCAATCGCGTCAAGTACTAGAATCTCCGAACTTGATTATTTCCTACGAACCTATCAGCATCCGCGATTAATTAACTTCCACGATAATGACTACAATTGTTATAATCTTATTAACTATTAATAAAAAACGAATATTTTGCTGTTACAATTTTTTTTTACATGGGAATCAAAACCAAAAAAATCCAAAATATAAATTGTAATTTTATTGCAATAATTATACGCGCGTAGATCATTTCTATATAATAATGCTTAGATTTGAATGGATCTTACATCACCTCTTAAAATTTTTGCTGATTTAAAAGTAATTTACTTATCGTTCTCATTGTCAGATTGTTATATTAATTTGTAAAATTCGCGGATCCCATACAAATTTGAATTTTTTTTTGCATTCTTTCATCATGCAATGCGTGTTGCATGCAATTGAGAGTGTCGTGCAAAATGACATACGGTTATCTTATTCTGATGATTAGTACGCGTTATAATTAACCGTCATATAATTAACCGTGTTGTCGTGAGTATTGTGTTGTGAGCGCAACGAACAAATCTGAGAGAAGCGGCAGGAGGGAGGAGGCTTGGGAGGCATTGGGAAACGGCGGAGCAACTATAGGATGAGTAAATACATCTCGCAGAGATGTATCTCTCTTACCTTATAATAAATGGGTTAGAATAAATTAGTATAAATATTTAACCTTGAAATTGGCATCAATTATAATCATTAATCAATCGAACATTTTATATACAACGTGTCACTCAAGTAAGATTTTCAGAAAACGCAATAGACTCACAAGGATATAAATAATTTCATTTATTTATTGTATCCTTATGATGTTTATATATTTTTTTTTTATCACATATTGTTACGTAAATAGATTATAATAAACTCAATTTTTAAGATAATTGTTTAGATAATTAGTAAAAATCAAGAAAAAAGGGACAAGAGTAAAATTGAAATTAGAGGGAATGGAGATCAAGAATAAAATTATAATAATTAGAATACTGTTATTTCATAAATTAAAATTTCATAAAATAAAATTTTTATTAAAATCCCTGTATATTTACGAATTAACTTATGAATTAACAATTTTTAATCTCTTGCATGTATACGTTGCTTCTTTTGGCTGAACAGAGCACTTCCGCACCTCGAATCGGAGCAAACTATTTTTTTTACTGTCAGGAATCTCAGAGATTGGTCCCGTACTTATACTTTTTAGCACAAAACTGAAAGGACGAATGGCAATTTTTATTTACACTAGACAACCAATTTGCATATTGGAAAAAAGACAACAGTACTTCGAGACATGCGAATATCGAATCACTAATTAATTGTTAATTAAATTTATTCTTATATCAATCGATTTATATTTTAATTTTTGTTCTATCTATCTTTATTAATAATTTGGCTATTTTTTTATCGCTTAAAACAAAAACAATAAACATAATAACTGTTTCATTGTGTATGTACTATTGCGAAATTATTCCACAATAGTTGTCTAGTACTTTAATGTAATTTCATGAGAATAATCGTTTTATTTCTTATAATTAATTCAATATACTCTTGATGTCTAATTGATATCTAATATAAATATAACTGTTGATCCGTTTGTATTTTAGAAAGATATAAAATTTTATTCTGAATATATTTTGTCTAATTAATTAAATATAATTTATTTTAATAATTTTTAAACGAGATTTATATAAATATGAGTTTAAATAACTTCGAACGCTTTTAATCAATCGATTGAATGACTGTCGGCAATTATCAAACGTTCAGAAAATTTGGAACTTGTTTGAATCTGACTATACGAAATTGTTATCTGCTCTATTACCAGTTTACGATATACGATAGAACAAAAAAAGAGTTAGTAAAATTCACTGTGCCGTTATTGTCGCATGGCAATTCAATTCTTTCCAAGTTTTTCGAAATAGCAGCGAAACATTGTATCGATTCGAGCTAGTGTGGCGTGACGTTAGTTTTGACCAAATATTTGTCGATGGAAATGGAACCAGAGCTCGTATAGTCGGCGCTATTGATTGATTTTTTATTTTGTGCTAAAATCTAATCGCTCGATGTTCTTTTTCAAAATTTGTATTCTTTTTTAGTCTCTTCTTTTGTAACATGAGTAGACAATATACGTTGGCTAAAGCACAACTCACTGTCAGCAGAGTTGTATTTTGGGATTGATTTATTTATTTATTTATGAATAATTCTTATGTTTTTTTCTACAGAGAGATTTATTTTACATAAAATCTATTTTAAAAAGTCGTTTTGTTTTTATCTTTTAGACATGTTTTTTTATTTAGTAAAATACAAATTAGACTAAAGAGTTTATCAGTGGTATTTAGTTGTTTATGGAAATCTTATCAGTATTTGATTTGCTTTATAACAATTTTTTAAAAACATTAATATCTATTTAATATATATATACATATATATATATATATATATATATATATATATATATATACACACATATATATGTATATATACATACATATATGCAAATATAAATTATATTAGATATATAATCTAATGTAACAAAATTATTTAAGACATTTGTCTTCTCGATTTTTTGTCCTATTTTTTTAAATAATTAAATCCTATAAAATTTAAAGAAAAATTTTGCCAAGCCTTGTGTGTTGTTATTAAAAAAATCAAACAAAAATTTATAAAGAATAATATATATATGTATAAAATATGTTTTATATAAAAGATTTTAAGAATATTTTTGTAAGGGTGAGAAATGTAAGAATTATTTGTGCCAACTCTTGAGAGATGTAAGGAATTCTGAAGCTTTATACGTTTCGCAACTCTGTAAGTCCGGGGTAGCCGAGCCGAATGTGTAATCAGGTCGCACGGCGTTAGTACAACTAATTAGTCGGGTACAATGCTCGGATAATATTATATTACTGCGGAGTGGCGAAGAATGGATGTAGCTACTGCGCTCGGTTGAAGGCCGAACCGGGTCTCGCCGGCGTTGGATGAGCAGAATTGAGCTACTAAGTTATTCACGTCGCACTCCAGTCATGCTCGACGCGCCCGACCAGACGGTTTCGCGAGAAAGCTTGCGCTATGGTTAACGCCAGATTGGCGGATAAGAGCGAATTGTCGAGTCGTTAAAGCTAGTTTTCTCGCGAAAACACATTCTTCGTTTCTTCGCTTTTAACCGCGATTACGTGTCGCTTCGTTAAACCTATTCCTGCTCTATGCATTTCTTCTTGACCTTGAATTTATTTTTGTATTGGTGATCATTCTGATTTTTATACGTTTAATATGTATCTATTTATAATAGGTTCCATTTGATATTACATATTATTGCAATATTTGATTTT